AGAGAACCAGCTCTTCAACTAGCTCTTCAGCTTACAGCTTCTGAGCCGCCAAAACGCCGGACCCGCCAGCCTGAAACACCATGACATCGCATCAAAAAACTCCCTAACGTCCCTTCTGAAATCCTAGAGAACTAGCTCTTTAACTAGCTCTTCAACTTACAGCTTCTGAGCCGCCAATACGCCGGACCCGCCAGCCTGAAACACCATGGCAGTGAAGGACGAAGAAGCCACCAAATCGCAACAAAAAACTCCCTAACGTCCCTTCTGAAATCCTAGAGAACTAGCTCTTCAACTAGCTCTTCAACTTACAGCTTCTGAGCCGCCAAAACACTGAGCTCCCTGATGTGTTCCCTTCTGAGACGCCAAAACGCCGGACCCGCCAGCCTGAAACACCATGGCAGTGAAGGACGAAGAAGTCACCAAATCGCAACAAAAAACTCCCTAACGTCCCTTCTGAAATCCTAGAGAACTAGCTCTTCAACTAGCTCTTCAACTTACAGCTTCTGAGCCGCCAAAACACTGAGCTCCCTGATGTGTTCCCTTCTGAGCCGCCAAAACGCCGGACCCGCCAGCCTGAAACACCATGGCAGTGAAGGACGAAGAAGCCACCAAATCGCACCAAAAAACTCCCTAACGTCCCTTCTGAAATCCTAGCGAACTATCTCTTCAACTAGCTCTTCAACTTACAGCTTCTGAGCCGCCAAAACGCCGGACCCGCCAGCCTGAAACACCATGGCAGTGAAGGACGAAGAAGTCACCAAATCGCAACAAAAAACTCCCTAACGTCCCTTCTGAAATCCTAGAGAACTAGCTCTTCAACTAGCTCTTCAACTTACAGCTTCTGAGCAACCAAAACGCCGGACCCGCCAGCCTGAAACACCATGGCAGTGAAGGACGAAGAAGTCACCAAATCGCACCGAAAAACTCCCTAACGTCCTTTCTGAAATCCTAGAGAACTAGCTCTTCAACTAGCTCTTCAACTTACAGCTTCTGAGCCGCCAAAACACTGAGCTCCCTGACGTGCCTGCCTTCTGAGCCGCCAATACGCCGGACCCGCCAGCCTGAAACACCATGGCAGTGAAGGACGAACGAAGAAGTCACCAAATCGCACCAAAAAACTCCTTAACGTCCCTTCTGAAATCCTAGAGAACTAGCTCTTCAACTAGCTCTTCAACTTACAGCTTCTGAGCCGCCAAAACGCCGGACCCGCCAGCCTGAAACACCATGGCAGTGAAGGACGAAGAAGTCACCAAATCGCACCAAAAACCTCCCTAACGTCGCTTCTGAAATCCTAGCGAACTAGCTCTTCAACTAGCTCTTCAACTTACAGCTTCTGCGCCGCCAAAACGCCGGACCCGCCAGCCTGAAACACCATGGCAGTGAAGGACGAAGAAGCCACCAAATCGCACCAAAAAACTCCCTAACGTCCCTTCTGAAATCCTAGAGAACTAGCTCTTCAACTAGCTCTTCAACTTACAGCTTCTGAGCCGCCAAAACGCCGGACCCGCCAGCCTGAAACACCATGGCAGTGAAGGACGAAGAAGCCACCAAATCTCACCAAAAAACTCCCTAACGTCCCTTCTGAAATCCTAGAGAACTAGCTCTTCAACTAGCTCTTCAACTTACAGCTTCTGACCCGCCAAAACGCCGGACCCGCCAGCCTGAAACACCATGGCAGTGAAGGACGAAGAAGCCACCAAATCGCACCAAAAAACTCCCTAACGTCCCTTCTGAAATCCTAGAGAACTAGCTCTTCAACTAGCTCTTCAACTTACAGCTTCTGACCCGCCAAAACGCCGGACCTGCCAGCCTGAAACACCATGGCAGTGAAGGACGAAGAAGCCACCAAATCGCACCAAAAAACTCCCTAACGTCCCTTCTGAAATCCTAGAGAACTAGCTCTTCAACTAGCTCTTCAACTTACAGCTTCTGACCCGCCAAAACGCCGGACCCGCCAGCCTGAAACACCATGGCAGTGAAGGACGAAGAAGCCACCAAATCGCACCAAAAAATTCCCTAACGTCCCTTCTGAAATCCTAGAGACCTAGCGCTTCAACTACCTCTTCTTCTTCAACTTACAGCTTCTGAGCCGCCAAAACGTCGGACCCGCCAGCCTGAAACACCATGGCAGTGAAGGACGAAGAAGTCACCAAATCGCACCCAAAAACTCCCTAACGTCCCTTCTGAAATCCTAGAGAACTAGCTCTTCAACTAGCTCTTCAACTTACAGCTTCTGAGCCGCCAAAACGCCGGACCCGCCAGCCTGAAACACCATGGCAGTGAAGGACGAAGAAGCCACCAAATCGCACCAAAAAACTCCCTAACGTCCCTTCTGAAATCCTAGAGAACTAGCTCTTCAACTAGCTCTTCAACTTACAACTTATTTCAACTTACAGCTTCTGAGCCGCCAAAACGCCGGACCCGCCAGCCTGAAACACCATGGCAGTGAAGGACGAAGAAGCCACCAAATCGCACCAAAAGACTCCCTAACGTCCCTTCTGAAATCCTAGCGAACTAGCTCTTCAACTAGCTCTTCAACTTACAGCTTCTGAGCCGCCAAAACGCCGGACCCACCAGCCTGAAACACCATGGCAGTGAAGGACGAAGAAGCCACCAAATCGCACCAAAAAACTCCCTAACATCCCTTCTGAAATCCTAGAGAACTAGCTCTTCAACTAGCTCTTCAACTTACAGCTTCTGACCCGCTAAAACGCCGGACCCGGCAACCTGAAACACCATGGCAGTGGAGGACAAAGAAGCCACCAAATCGCACCAAAAAAACTCCCTAACGTCCCTTCTGAAATCCTATAAGGGAACGAGGCCTATAACTAAGCTCTTCAACATTACAGCCTGCTTCTATCTGACCACAACCGCAAAACGCCGGAACCCCCCCCCAGCCACACAACCTGGCAGTCAGGCTAAGAATCCAAACCAAATCGCACCAAAAAACTCCCGAACGCCCGTCTGAAAATCCTACGAGAACTACTCTTTTCACATAGCTCTTCACTAACAGCTCCTCGTCTGAGCCGTGCCAAACACGCCTGACCCCCGCCAGCCTGAAAACACCATGGCAGTGTGAAGGAGACGAAGAAAGCCAGCCAAATCAGCACCAAAACTCCCAAACGTCCCTTCTGACATCCTAGAAGAACAACTCTCAACTAGCTCTTCACATTAACGCTTCTGAGCCGCCAAACCCAGGACCCACCCGCGGCCCCGACACCCATGGCAGTGAAGGACGAAGAAGCCACCAAATCGCACCAAAAAACTCCCTAACGTCCCTTCTGAAATCCTAGAGAACTAGCTCTTCAACTAGCTCTTCAACTTACACCTTCTGAGCCGCCAAAACACTGAGCTCCCTGACGTGCCTGTCTTCTGAGCCGCCAAAACGCCGGACCCGCCAGCCTGAAACACCATGGCAGTGAAGGACGAAGAAGTCACCAAATCGCACCAAAAAACTCCCTAACGTCCCTTCTGAAATCTTAGAGAACTAGCTCTTCAACTAGCTCTTCAACTTACAGCTTCTGACCCGCTAAAACGCCGGACCCGGCAACCTGAAACACCATGGCAGTGGAGGACGAAGAAGCCACCAAATCGCACCAAAAAAACTCCCTAACGTCCCTTCTGAAATCCTAGAGACCCAGCGCTTCAACTACCTCTTCTTCTTCAACTTACAGCTTCTGAGCCGCCAAAACGCCGGACCCGCCCATCTGAAACACCATGGCAGTGAAGGACGAAGAAGTCACCAAATCGCACCAAAAAACTCCCTAACGTCCCTTCTGAAATCCTAGAGAACTAGCTCTTCAACTAGCTCTTCAACTTACAGCTTCTGAGCCGCCAAAACGCCGGACCCGCCAGCCTGAAACACCATGGCAGTGAAGGACGAAGAAGCCACCAAATCGCACCAAAAAACTCCCTAACGTCCCTTCTGAAATCCTAGAGAACTAGCTCTTCAACTAGCTCTTCAACTTACAGCTCCTGACCCGCTAAAACGCCGGACCCGGCAACCTGAAACACCATGGCAGTGGAGGACGAAGAAGCCACCAAATCGCACCAAAAAAACTCCCTAACGTCCCTTCTGAAATCCTAGAGACCTAGCGCTTCAACTACCTCTTCGTCTTCAACTTACAGCTTCTGAGCCGCCAAAACGTCGGACCCACCAGCCTGAAACACCATGGCAGTGAAGGACGAAGAAGTCACCAAATCGCACCAAAAAACTCCCTAACGTCCCTTCTGAAATCCTAGAGCTCTTCAACTAGCTCTTCAACTTACAGCTTCTGAGCCGCCAAAACGCCGGACCCGCCAGCCTGAAACACCATGGCAGTGAAGGACGAAGAAGCCACCAAATCGCACCAAAAGACTCCCTAACGTCCCTTCTGAAATCCTAGAGAACTAGCTCTTCAACTAGCTCTTCAACTTACAGCTTCTGAGCCGCCAAAACGCCGGACCCGCCAGCCTGAAACACCATGGCAGTGAAGGACGAAGAGGCCACCAAATCGCAACAAAAAACTCCCTAACGTCCCTTCTGAAATCCTAGAGAACTAGCTCTTCAACTAGCTCTTCAATTTACAGCATGGCAGTGAAGGACGAAGAAGCCGCCAAGTCGTAGTAGTAGTAGTAGTAGTCGTCGTCGTCGTCGTCGTCGTCGTGGTCGTGGTCGTGGTCGTGGTCGTGGTCGTGGTCGTGGTCGTGGTCGTGGTCGTGGTCGTGGTCGTAGTCGTAGTCGTAGTCGTAGTCGTAGTCGTAGTAGTAGTAGTAGTAGTAGTAGTAGTAGTAGTAGTAGTAGGAGTAGGAGTAGTAGTAGTAATAGCAGTGCAGTACCTCTTTTTCCCTTACGCGCTCCCCCTTGCATCGGCCGGGGTCGGCGGATAGTGCCAGTAATAGTAGTTCTTTGTTACGTTGAACATCATTGTCTACTGACACTTGAAAGTAGCAGCCATTTATTTGAACACATGGCAGATGAGAACTCCCTTTTGTGATGCATTGATGGTATTCCGTCGGCCAGGTGACCCATTGGGAGCAGATACCCAATGTGGAGCCGGCGTGCCGACAGCTGAATATGTCAGACACCAGAAAATTGGAACCTCAGTGTAGCTTGGGCCTGGCCCATTTGGTTTTACATCCATTTTTTAAAATTTGGATCATCTGAAAATTCTGTTGGCTACCCATTTTTTGTCGTTTTTTCATCTCCACTAATCTCCACCTGGCAGGATCCACCAACTGGAGTGTTTACCCATCCTTTTGGCCAAATTTTCACCCACTCTGAGTGGTGTGTGAATCCATTTTTAAATAGCGAAGGATGATGGCATCAAGACCTAACAGTACTGGGGCAGTTTAGGTTCGACTTTTTTGGAGTTCTTGGTGAGTTCGTCACATGTTGTCACCATTTATCCATCAATCCCTTAGTGGCCACTTAGGTAAAGACAAGATGGTGCAACTATTGTCGAAAGCGCCACGCCGCCATGGCGCCATCCGTGTGACCTTCGTCACAGCCTTCTTCTGGGCTCGCAGTGATCTGGCCATGGATGTCATCGATGAGGTTATCGATGCCGATGGAGACGGACATTGGAAAAATGCCAAGTTGGGATTCATCACACAGATTGGGGCCTGGTACTACTACTGCTCCAAGCTGAAGTTTTCCTACTGTCCAAGGAGACTATGGTACATTATTGTGTTCGATATTGTTCGATGTTTTAGTTTCATGTTTTTTTCTTTGTTTCGATTGAAAAAGAGTACTGCAATAGGTTTTGACAGCCTTTTCCGCCGGAAGATTCAATTTTGATTGCCGGAGAAAGTCTCATCCTATCTGCCAGGAAAGAGCTCATAGAACAGGACATGTATGGCAAAGGCATGCAGACATTTAAGGCACGGGGAAGCGGGGGCGCGCGCGGCGCGCAACTGCAATTGAGAATAGACCCGCCCAGGTGACATCGCATGACCCAGGTGACCCAGGTGACATGGCATCACATGGCTATAGCGGCTACCCATATGTTCCAACTTCCATTTTGATTCAGGGGACTGCAGGGGACTGCAGGGGACTGCAGGGGGTCGCGTTTTGCTATCACGCATGTCAGAGGAGGAGATGGAGGTGAGTTTGGAGCGAATGCAGAGCTGGTGTCATAGTGGTCGAGTTCAGCTTGGATGTTACCTTCAAACAATCAGTTGGAGCGATGGCAAAGGAGAGCGAGAGACTTATGCAGATATGAACGTCTACATCCAGAAGGCACAGTACGGCTCACTAGGGTAGTTGTTCTTCTGTCGTCTTTAACGAATGGTTTTATAAATCAACCATGTCCATCCACAAGCCATCAATTCTGCTTGAAGCCACCACGTGGCTCGCGAGGCCATGACATCCCAAGCTTCGTTCAAGTTTCAACTGATCGATTTCTACCAGATGGGTGGCAACATGCCCGAAGAGGTCCATGGTGGACATGGATCTATCCTCTTGAACCTCTGGGCAGCTCGAAGAACTGGGACAATTTTTGGGCACAATTTTGGGGCATGGCTGGATATCGAATGTATGGCCCTGAATTTCTGGAGCCTCTTTATGTATGTCATATGGTTATGGCTCAGAAATATGGGGTACCAGTGGATGGGGCTAGCAATGGACCCACACATTTGATGAATTTGAGCCTTCAAACAGCCCAAACAAGGCCTTCTGAACAGTTTGGAGTGAATGCCATGCTATAGCCATATCCTTGTGTTGTCCCTTACTCGCAGCTTTACATCTTCATTTCATGATGGACGTTGCTGGTGGCATAGCTGCGCCCTTTGCTGCACCGCTGCACTGAGATGTGGACGGTGATGTTCAACTCCATCTGCCCCGCGGGACTGGCATCCGAAAAGGTCAACGCTGTCTTCGACGGTGTCATGTGCTCTGGGACCCAGGTGCCACGGCTGCCACACCTAGTGCCACACCCGGTAAACAAAACACCTTGCCTCGGCTGTGTGAAGTGGTGGCCTGGTGGCTGTGCCGTGTTGCGAACTTTGAACACTTTGTTACGCTACTCGTATGTTGCAATTGTCCACTGTCTGTTACTGTAGCATACTGTAGCATCTTTTTGAGAGGTCTCCAGTGGATAGATGTGCAAACATGTGCAGCACCTTGACGTTTCTGAAATGTTTCCTGGATGATTGATGTTGTCTGCATCCTTTTCCTAAAAGACCTAAACAATGACGCATTCTGTCGCATTCTGATCACACCCATCGACTTCCATGGCCGCAGTTGCGCTGGGCGAATTGCCCCAAGTATCATCACTTCTGCACTCATGGAGGACCCGCCTGTCACTGGGAAGTTTCAGGAAAGTTTGTGAAGTGTACAGCTTTGGCAAATTGGGCATAATTGGGCTATCCATTTGGACATGTTTGGTTGTTTGGGTGATGTTCAATACAAGCACAGCCATTCTGAGCTTGATCCCAGGTGAGAAATGGGAGTGTATGAACAGCGTGCAATGCACTCTCCGTGCCAGCAACCCGCCAGAAATGGGCGACACCAAAGGACCCGGTGATTGATCGCCAATGATCAAGTGGTGAGTTGGGGAAATCTCACTGGTAGTGTGTATCAAGCTCAGTCACGATGCTACAGTAGCCAAGTCTTTGCTTTTTCTTACATGTTTCTTCTGTGAAGATGTGCGCATGGCCGCATGGACGTATTGCTTGTTTCGCTTCGCAGGAATGTGTGATGCTGCCCTGGACATTTCTGGTTTTGCTGCCGCGGAGAAAACGACATGTCATCGCCTTTGGTGTCACGAACATGTGCAGTGGCTTCTCCCCGCGGCTGTCACGGTGCTGGCCTTGTTGTTGAAATTATTCCTCAGCGAAAGTGGCAAACAGGATGTTTCAAGAGAGGTACAGCAGGCGCCAACTGGTAAGGTTTGAATTTGAAAGTCTAAGCAGCATATTGCCATGGCCAATCAATACTCAACATCGCACTCATCATTTTTGGCAATTTTTACAGTTACCCAATTGGTGGGGTGCACCGAATATTCATAAGTACTTCTATTTCAATGCGTGCAATACCATACTCAGACGTTCGCCAGGATTCCCACAAACGCCATTCACATCATTTTCCATTTTTTCCAACCTTTTGCCCAGCTTTCTTTGATTCTCATTTTCCAGTTTTCCCAATTGTTTTCCCAACTGTTTTCCCAATTGTTTTCCCAACTGTTTTCCCAATTGTTTTCCCAACTGTTTTCCCAATTGTTTTCCCAACTGTTTTCCCAATTGTTTTCCCAACTGTTTTCCCAATTGTTTTCCCAACTGTTTTCCCAACTGTTTTCCCAATTGTTTTCCCAATTGTTTTCCCAATTGTTTTCCCAACTGTTTTCCCAACTGTTTTCCCAACTGTTTTCCCAATTGTTTTCCCAACTGTTTTCCCAATTGTTTTCCCAACTGTTTTCCCAATTGTTTTCCCAACTGTTTTCCCAATTGTTTTCCCAACAGTTTTCCCAACTGTTTTCCCAACTGTTTTCCCAATTGTTTTCCCAATTGTTTTCCCAACTGTTTTCCCAACTGTTTTCCCAACTGTTTTCCCAATTGTTTTCCCAACTGTTTTCCCAATTGTTGTCCCAATTGTTTTCCCAATTGTTTTTCCAACTGTTTTCCCAACTGTTTTCCCAACTGTTTTCCCAATTGTTTTCCCAACTGTTTTCCCAATTGTTTTCCCAACTGTTTTCCCAATTGTTTTCCCAACTGTTTTCCCAATTGTTTTCCCAATTGTTTTCCCAATTGTTTTCTGTTTTCCCAATTGTTTTCCCAACTGTTTTCCCAATTGTTTTCCCAACTGTTTTCCCAATTGTTTAACTGTTTTCCCAATTGTTTTCCCACTGTTTTCCCAATTGTTTTCCCAACTGTTTTCCCAATTGTTTTCCCAATTGTTTTCTGTTTTCCCAATTGTTTTCCCAACTGTTTTCCCAATTGTTTTCCCAACTGTTTTCCCAATTGTTTTCCCAACTGTGTTTTCCCAATTGTTTTCCCAATTGTTTTCCCAACTGTTTTCCCAATTGTTTTCCCAACTGTTTTCCCAATTGTTTTCCCAACTGTTTTCCCAATTGTTTTCCCAACTGTTTTCCCAATTGTTTTCCCAACTGTTTTCCCAATTGTTTTCCCAACTGTTTTCCCAATTGTTTTCCCAACTGTTTTCCCAATTGTTTTCCCAATTGTTTTCCCAACTGTTTTCCCAACTGTTTTCCCAACTGTTTTCCCAATTGTTTTCCCAACTGTTTTCCCAACTGTTTTCCCAACTGTTTTCCCAATTGTTTTCCCAACTGTTTTCCCAATTGTTTTCCCAACTGTTTTCCCAATTGTTTTCCCAACTGTTTTCCCAATTGTTTTCCCAACTGTTTTCCCAATTGTTTTCCCAACTGTTTTCCCAATTGTTTTCCCAACTGTTTTCCCAATTGTTTTCCCAACTGTTTTCCCAATTGTTTTCCCAATTGTTTTCCCAATTGTTTTCCCACTGTTTTTGCCCAACTGTTTTCCCCAACTGTTTTTCCCCATTGTTTCTTCCCCGACCTGTTTTCCCAATTTGTTTCCCAACTGTTTTTCCCAATGGTTTTCCCAACTGTTTTTTGTTTCCCAGTGTGTCCCCAACTGTTTTTCCCAATTGTTTTCCCGGAATTGTTTCCCAATTGTTTTCCCACTGTTTTCCAAATTGTTTTCCCCCAAACTGTTTTGCCAAATGGTTTCCCATGTTGTCCCAACTGTTTTCCCAACTTTTTCCCCAGTGTTTTCCCAACTGTTTTCCCAACTGTTTTCCCAATTGTTTTCCCAACTGTTTTCCCAACTGTTTTCCCAACTGTTTTCCCAACTGTTTTCCCAATTGTTTTCCCAACAGTTTTCCCAACTGTTTTCCCAACTGTTTTCCCAATTGTTTTCCCAACTGTTTTCCCAACTGTTTTCCCAACTGTTTTCCCAACTGTTTTCCCAATTGTTTTCCCAACTGTTTTCCCAATTGTTTTCCCAACTGTTTTCCCAATTGTTTTCCCAACTGTTTTCCCAATTGTTTTCCCAACTGTTTTCCCAATTGTTTTCCCAATTGTTTTCCCAATTGTTTTCCCAACTGTTTTCCCAATTGTTTTCCCAACTGTTTTCCCAATTGTTTTCCCAACTGTTTTCCCAACTGTTTTCCCAACTGTTTTCCCAATTGTTTTCCCAATTGTTTTCCCAACTGTTTTCCCAACTGTTTTCCCAACTGTTTTCCCAATTGTTTTCCCAACTGTTTTCCCAATTGTTTTCCCAACAGTTTTCCCAACTGTTTTCCCAACTGTTTTCCCAATTGTTTTCCCAATTGTTTTCCCAACTGTTTTCCCAACTGTTTTCCCAACTGTTTTCCCAATTGTTTTCCCAACTGTTTTCCCAATTGTTGTCCCAATTGTTTTCCCAATTGTTTTTCCAACTGTTTTCCCAACTGTTTTCCCAACTGTTTTCCCAATTGTTTTCCCAACTGTTTTCCCAATTGTTTTCCCAACTGTTTTCCCAATTGTTTTCCCAACTGTTTTCCCAATTGTTTTCCCAACTGTTTTCCCAATTGTTTTCCCAACTGTTTTCCCAATTGTTTTCCCAACTGTTTTCCCAACTGTTTTCCCAACTGTTTTCCCAATTGTTTTCCCAACTGTTTTCCCAACTGTTTTCCCAACTGTTTTCCCAACTGTTTTCCCAATTGTTTTCCCAACTGTTTTCCCAACTGTTTTCCCAACTGTTTTCCCAACTGTTTTCCCAACTGTTTTCCCAATTGTTTTCCCAACTGT